TATATATATATATATACACGCTCACACTCAAACAAATTGCATGCGCGTTCATACAAAAAAGGGATAAGAGAATTTACTTGGACATCCTTCCGACTAAATGTTTCTAACTTAATAATATTTGAATAGATTTAGATTTATGCAAGAGAAAACGAAAAATAGAGCTGTTTGCAAAGCTAGGGGCAGGCAGGTGGGTATTTTATTCAGTGATGTAGTCCTTTGGCCCATATCACTTAAAGCATACACATTTTAAGGAAGAAACTTTCATGAAACAGCACAAATTGTAAATGACAGACTTATTTATAAAACTTTTAATACGTTTTTTGTTGATGTTATTGTTGTTGTGTTGTTGTTGTTGTTGTTGTTGTTGTTGTTGTTGATGATGATGATGATGATGATGTTGCTGTTGTTGTTGTTGTTGTTGTTGTCAAACAAACATCTCCATAACAGAATAGTATAGTTGTACATAGGCCTATAACTTTTTTCGTGGGTTAACCACTGTAGATTTCTTATCACTGGATTGGGTTAGGAAGGGGGGAATGAATTATTATTTCCTTTGATAGACAAAACTTAAACAATAAAACAATTAAACGAAATTCATCTTCAGTTTCATGAGAGTTGTAAAGTTAGGGGAAAGTAATGAAAACAATCAGCTTACCTTGGCCCATCGCAACCGTCAGCACAAGAGCGCCCAGGATGAAATATTTCCACAACCCCGACATATCTGAACCCGTAAATGTTTTTTTCCGATTCGAAATTCACAAAAGTAACGAAAAATAAGTGTTTAGAAATTAACGATACCTCAAAACACACTTTTCTTTGCTTTCAGAAGAAGACAACAAACCGCTAAAAATGAGTAAGCGTCCGCAATATGAGATAACGAAAAGCGACGCGCCCTGTTCAACAAGTCCTCAATATGTTGCCAAGTTGGAGAGGATATTCTCGCGGGCACAGATGCTCGCTCACCCACTCACGCAAGCGTGCCCGTGACTGATGGCTGTAATCTGAGCTGACTCAGGCCAAGGGACAAAATTGCCATATTTGTTCTGGCCTGGGCCCGGATAAAGTAACCAAAAATCGATACAGAGATATACATTGTTTACTCTATTATGAAATTTTGAAAAAACGGGTACGGTTAGTTAGAATGTAAGAACAGGCCGTTTGAAATATCAAAGCTTGACGCAATACTTTCGAAGTTGTAGTGGAGACTGATTTTCAATCACTTTTCTGTTGTTTTGTTGTTTGTGAGTGTGTGTTTGTGTATATATATGTGTGTGG